TGCTTGTAGTCCCAGCTACTCAGGAAGCTAAGGAGGGAGGATTGCTTGAGCCTGGGAAGTCGAGGCTGCAGTGAGGTGAGATCGTGCCACTGCACTGCAGCCTGAGGTGACAGGAGTCACCTGGGCTCAATTGATCCTCCCAGCCCTGCCTCCCAAGTAGATGGAACTACAGGCATGAACTACCATGCCTATAGTTGTATTTTTTGCACAGATGGGTTTCACCATGTTGCCTAGGCTGGTCTCGAACTCCTGGGCTCAAGTGATCTGCTCCCCTCAGCCTCCCAAAGTGCTGGGATTACAGGTGTGAGCCACCATGTCAGGTCAGCAAGTTCTTTTGTCATGGCAAAATGAAACCAAGTTGAAAACAGAAATACAAAGCAGGGGGAAAATGTGGTCCATGCCGTTTGATTGTTTATTGTCATTAGCAACCCACTTTTGGTCCAGATTAATATATGAGCAGTAAAAGTGTCTGGTTATTATTGAACAGGGCGCTGTGTGTGCTGGAAAATGTGAGTCAGACCCCAGAGGGGAAATTCAGCCCCACTGAGAAGTCAAGCATGGTGTCAAGCCAACAAGAAAAGGTCAGTAAATTTCTAGGGTTTTCTTTCACTGTACTATATTCAGGAAACTGGAATGGGAAATTAAAATTCCAGCTTAGGTATAATTGTCACTGACATTTAAGGGCTAGAAAGAAAACTTCCCAACTGTTTGAAAGAAGTAGCAAGCACGGCCTGATCTCTTATGTGGAAAAGGGCTGGGTGGCAGTGTGAACATTTGGAGAGGTGACGCTCTGTTTACTGAGAGGGCAGGATGCCAGCTGTATTTTGGGACCCTCAATCCTATGATCTCAGACAAGTTATTGAGCTTTGCTGAGCCTCAATTGCATCGGATGATTTTTTAGGTCTTAAATCTTTTTTTTTTTTTTGACACAGAGTCTTGCTCTGCCGCCCAGGCTGGAGTACAGTGGCACGATCTCAGCTTACTGCAACCTCTGCACCCAGCTTTAAGGAATCCCCCTGCCTCAGACTCCCCAGTAGCTGGGACTATAGGCAAGGCTAATTTTTGTATTTTTAGTAGAAACGGGGTTTCTCCATGATGGCCGGGCTGGTCTTGAACTCCTAACCTCAGGTGATCCACCTGCTGCCTCAGCCTCCCAAAGTACTGGGATTACAGGAATGGGCCACTGCGCCTGGCCTAGGTCTTACATCTATGACATAAAAAAATCTGATACTACTGCTCTGTGTACCTACTGGGTAAACCAAGACCCCACCCCCACCAGCAAACCATGGAATTACCGTAAATGACAGATTACGAACAAAATAATACTATAGTAACAACTTGTTACCATGTACCTTCTGTGTGCCAGGTCTTTCCTCTCATGGCCACATGGCAAGGTAGGTATTGTGACCTTTTTACAAACAAGGAGGTTGAAGGTAAGGGGCTAATCCACCCGGGCTGTAATTTATTTATTTATTATTATTTTTTGGATACAGGGTCTCACTCCTGTCACCCAGGCTGCAATGCAGTGGCACGCCACAGCCTTGACTTCCCGGGTTCAGGCGATCCTCCCTCCTTAAGATCCTAAGTAGCTGGAACTACAAGCATGCACCATGCCTACCTAATTTTTCTTTCTTTTTTTTTTTGAGGTGGAGTCTTGCTCTGTTGTTCAGGATGGAGTGCAGTGGCATGATCTTGGCTCCCTGCAATGTCTGCCTCCCAGATTCAAGAGATTCTCCTCCCTCAGCCTCCCGAGTAGCTGTGATTATAGATGCCTACCACCACACCCAGCTAATTTTTGTATGTTTAGTACAGACGAGGTTTTACCATGTTGGCCGGGCTGGTCTTGAACTCCTGACCTCAGGTGATCCCCTCAACTTCTGTTTCCCAAAGTGCTGGGATTACAGGCATGAGCCACTGCATCCGGCCTACTTTTAAATTGTTTTGTAGAGACAGGGTCTTACTATGTTCCCCAGGCTGGTCTTGAACTCCTGGCTCAAGTGATCCCTCCCCCTCGGCCTCCCAAAGTATTGGCATTATAAGCGTAAGCCACTGCACCTAGCCAGGCTGTGATTTAAACACAGAGCTCTCTGGTGCCCAAAGCCTGGGTCCATCCATTCTACCAACCTGTCCTTGACTGCCCAGAGCCCTGTGGCACACAGGATGATGACATTTCTAGGCCCTCCCAGTATCTGGGCGGAGTCACACAGCTAGTGTTGCTAATGGAACGTGGCCAGAGTTGAAGCCATTGGCAGGCCGGCCCACAGAAGGACCGTGTGACAGCTCCTGCTGTCTCTTTCCCCAGGTTGTGTGACTGGAAGCCAAGGAGTCTGAGCCGGTGGCACCGCACAGCTGAAGGAGCCTGCGCCCTTGAGTTTACTGCTTAGTGGAAAACTGTTCAGAAAACCTATGAACCGAGAACAGCCACATCAGACGTTTCACAGATGAGAAACAAACCTTTACTCCGGTAAGTTTCCGAGATTTTGAGTTTGATTCTTTCAGCAACAATTGAGAATCTGGGCTCCAAATTCAGTTCAACTCTTTTTTTTTTTTCTGGGTTCAGCTAAGAAATCAAGTTCATTTATGCCCTTTCATAAAGAGCCAAATTTGCCACGTGAATTAACATCTCATCTAGGGTTGCCACGTAAATAAAAATATGAGACAGGCCGGGTGAGGTGGCTCATGCCTGTAATCCCTGCACTTTGGGAGGCTGGGCCAGGCAGATCACTTGAGACCAGGTGTTTGAAACCAGCCTGGCCAACACAGTGAAACCCCCGTCTCTACTAAAATACATAAAAATTAGCCAGGCGTGGTGGTGCAATAAGCCCAGCGACTCAGGAGGCTGAGGCATGAGAACTGTTTGAATCCAGGAGGTGGAGGCTGCAGTGAGCCAAGACTGCACCACTGCACTCCAGCCTGCGCGACAGAGCGAGACCCTGTCTCAAAAAAACAAAAACAACAATAAAAATATACAACACCTTGTTCAATATGAACATAACACAGCCTGATCTCTTTTTGTGGAAACAGTTGGGGTGACAGTGTGAACATTTGGAGAAGGTGACGCTCTGTGACAGTGTGAACATTTAGAGAAGGTGACACTCTGTTCACTAAGAGGGCAGGAGGCCAGCCATATTTTGGGAACTTCATCTCTGTGATCTTAAATTATTGAGCTTTGCTGAGCATCAACTGCATGGGATGGTTTTTAGGTCTTAAATCTTTTTTTTATTTTTTTCTGAGTCTTTCTCTGTCCCCCAGGCTGGAGTGCAGCGGCACAAAATCACGCCACAAATACTTATTCAGCATAAGTAGGTTTTGTGCAATATTTGGGACATATTGATAAAAAGAAATAATTCATTGCTTACCTGAAATTCAAACATAACTGGGGGTCTGGCATCTTACCTGATCAGCGGAGTCTCATGCTATCACATCCACATCTTGACTCTGCTCAGAAACAGCTGCCCAACTTCTTTGCCAATCAACTTCCTTCCCATTCCTCAAGTCCTGGCCTGTATGCCACCTCCTCCAGGAAGACTTCCCTTCCAGCCTTGTCTTTCTAGCTCTCTGCTAGCACTTACCACACTGCACTTGTCTTATGGTGATACCAATCTTGCTCTTCTTGTGTTATTATTGTTGTTATTATTATTAAGAGTCTTGCTCTGTCTTCCAGGCTGGAATGCAGTGGCACAATCACAGCTCACTGCAGCCTGGACTTGGGTTCAAGTGATCCCCCTGCTTCAGTCTCTTGAGTAGCTGGGACCACAGGTGTGCACCACCATGCCTGGCTAATTTTGTATATTTTGTAGAGACAGAGTGTCCATGTTGTCCAGGCTGATCTCAAACTCCTGGGCTCAAGTAATCCTCTTGCCTCAGTCTCCCAAGTTGCTGAGATTACAGGTGGGGGCCACTGTGCCTGGCCCTAGCTCTTTGTTTTGTCTTGTTTTTGAGACAGAGTTTCGCTCTTGTTGCCCAGGCTGGAGTGCAATGGCGTGCTCTCGGCTCACTGCAACCTCTGCCTGCCAGGTTCAAGCAATTCTCCTGCCTTAGTCTTAGTAGCTGGAATTACAGGAACCTGCCACCACTGTCAGCTGATTTTATTTTTGGTAGAGATGGAGTTTTACCAAGCAATTTTCCTGCCTTAGCCACAGTAGCTGGGATTACAGGCACCTGCCACCATGCCCTAATTTTTTTGTGCTTTTGGTAGAGATGGGGTGTTGCTATGTTGGCCAGGCAGTTCTCAAGCTCCTGACCTCAGGTGATCCACCTGCCCCAGCCTCCCAAAGTGCTGGGATTACAGGGGTGAGCCAGCACATTTGGCCCTGGCTTTTTTTTTTTTTTTAATTCTTTT